CATGCCCAATGTATGTAAGAATAAGTCTAGCCATCCATGCCTCTAACGATCATTCTGACCTGACTTCTAAGACAGATCCATTAGTCTATCATACTTTCAATATTCTTAGCCAGCACCACAAAATCACATGCATCAATTTTTCTTCAGCCTTCCTTATGTAATGTCATGCAACTGAAAATACTAAGGCTTGGCCAGACACACCTCAGCCCTCCCAGGGATGTCTTTGCTTTTCAAAACTCCAACGAGGTCTTATGCAGCAGAATTACCTAATCTCTGGATTATTGTTTCCATGAGCATTGATTTTGGATCCATGCAAGACAAAGTCCTTAACAACTTCAGTCTTAGAAATCCTATATGGTAGTTCTACTCTGCCATGCAGGGTTGGCATGAGGCAAGACAGCAGTAGTGGGTTTGTTTGTCAGTTTACCTTGTACATGTCATTGTCTTTCCCATTATACAATATCCTTGTCCAGCCGACACCAGTTTTCATTTAAGAAGCACAATTTATAGAACAACCACTATTGATTGAAATGACTGGATGACAGTGGGTTTGTTTGATTTTTAAATTTATAATAGTGTTATTGAAATATATCCATTCACATACAATTCTATTGTTTGGTCCCATCCAGTGGAGTTAACAGTGCTAACATTGTCTTTCAAATGCACTGCAATGTCTTTTTCATGCCTTTGTTGTTGTTGCCAGGGGTCCTGGTGGCACCTTCAGGTAAGCATCAGACTGTCAATGGCAAGGTCATTGATTCAAACCCACCAGCTGCACTGGGGGAGAAAGTTGAGGCTATCTACTTCTGTAAATATTTATAGTTTTGGAATTCTTATATTGGATAGTTATGAATCAGAATCAATTTTATGGCAGTGAGTATAGTTTTGGCTCTTGTGATGTTAAAACATGGTAACTATACATAGAGAAAACAGCATTCGCCAATTCAACATTTTTCTCCTACAGTTCAGTGATGGCAATTAGATCAATTATGTTATGTAACCTTCACCAGTATCTCTTGCTAAATTTTTTATCAGCTTAAACAGAAATTGAGTGCTTCCTAATCAATAACTCTACCTTTTCTCTTTCTTTCTGTCCCTGACAACCAGTATTAAAATCTGTCATCTATACATCTTCCTATTCTAGGTATTTCATATTAATTTAACTATATAATATTGGTCCTTTCTTCATTAAATTATTTCACACAGCATACTATTTTTAGGGTGCATATATATGTTGTAGCATGTACCAGGGCTTCATTTATCTTTATAACTGAGTAATATTACATTGTGTGTGTGTGTGTGTATATATATATATATTGTTTATTCATTTACCTATTAATGTACATTTGGGTGGTTTCTACCCCTTAGATATTATAGATAGTGTTGCAAAGAGTATTGTTGTACAAGTGTCTGGATGCATCTGTTCTTTCAAGGTTCTTGGGTAATGAATCTAAGAGGGAGATTATAGGATTGTATGCCTAACTTTTTGAGGAAACACAAAACTGCTCCAGAGTAGCTTTCCCATTCCAATCCTAATAAAAATACTGGCACTTGCACACTCACTGCCATTGAGGCAATTATAGCAACCCTATAAGACAGGTTAAAACTGCGCCTGAGTTCCTGAGAGTGTAATTGCTTGTGGGAGTAGAAATCCCTGTCTTCCTTCCATAGAGCAGCTGGTAGTTTCAAACTGCCAACCTTGAGGATCTCAGCCCAACCTGTAACCAATACACTACCAGTGCCCCTCCCAATAACAATGGACGTTTTCCATTTCTTTCCAACCAAGCCAACATTTGCTATTTTCAGTGCCATCATCATGGGATTAATGTAGTATCTCATTGGGGCTTAGATCTCCTTAATAGTGAATTACTTTGAGCTTCCTGCCCCCCCCCCCCATGTGCTAGATAGCCATTTGCATGTTCTCATTGGTGAAATATTTATTTAAAATCTTTGTCTATTTTTCATTTGTGTTCTTTGTCGTGTGTGTGTGTGTGTGTGTGTGTGTGTGTGTGTGTGTGTGCTGGTTAACTTGTAGCAGATTTTTATGTACTCTGGATATTAAACCTTTATCCTGGTATGTAGTTCCTCAAAAGTTCTCTCAGTGTAGAGCTTGTCTCTCCATTTGGTTAATAAACTGTTTTGAAGGGCAGAAATGTCAAATCCTAATGGGATCTAATTTATTTATTGTGTATTTTGTGCTTTTGTATGTAGGGATGTATGGAAGAAGCCATTGTTAAAGACGAGGTCTGTGGCACTGTTCCACTTTTTTTCTCTAAGAGTTGGATGGGTGTAAATCATATATTTAAGCTTTTGAAACATTTTGAAGTAGTTTTCATATAATGTGAGGCTATCAAAGGATATAGCGTCTGGGTTCTTAAAAGCTTGAAGGTAAACAAACGGCCATCTAGCTCAGAAGCAACAAAGCCCACATGGAAGAAGACATCAGTCTGTGTGATCATGAGGTGCTGAAGGGATCAGTTATCTGGCATCAAAGAAAAAAAGGTCATATCATTTTGTGCTCACCTCCATGATACGATCGCTGAAGACAAATGGTGTATAAGCAAATGTGG